AGAGGGTGTAGAGAGAGGAGAGGAGAGGACCAAAGACAAAGGTACAGTAAACATCAACATTTAGGGGGTGAGAAGTAGGAGAAGCAGGATAATAGTGTCTGTTCCCAAAGTACCATGGCTTCCACTGAGGAAAGAAGAGAGATGAAGGTTTATGCTGTGTAAGCCCCTCACTTGGGGTTCTAGGCTATTAGTTACATTCTAGCCAGTAATCTGGGAACATACATATACACACACACACACACACATACAGTGTGTATATATAGATATGTACATGTGCATATATATATACATTCCCAGATGTTTGTGTACATACACAATATATCCACACATATATGTATATTGTCACACACATGTGTCTATATAAACATACATGCACATGTGTATATACATGCATGTGCATGCATGCATACACATGTATGCAATGAGGTGGCACAGTGCCGGGGGTGGATAGAGTGCCAGGCTTGGAGTCAGGACGACTCATCTTCCTGAGTTCAAATCTGGTCTCAAACACTTACTAGCTGTGTGGCCTAGGCAAGTCACTTAACCCTGTTTGCCTCAGTTTCCTCATCTATAAAATGAGCTAGAGTAGGAAAGGTTTACCTCACTCCAGTATCTTTGTTGAAAAAAACCCAGATGGGGTCATGAAGAGTCAGACATGCCTGAACAATAAAACAACATATACATATATAGACACATATATAATCATACATAAATTATATATTTATATATATAAAAACATTTTTTAAAATTCGACTTCTTGCCTTTCTATCACATGACTCATGACAGTTCATCTTCGATTGTTCCATTGGTGGGGGGAGAAAAGGAGCTAGACTCCTTGTGCCTAGCATGGTGTAGCAGGACAGCTCTCTCTGGGGAACTCCTAGATGTCAGCTATCCTAACCCTGGGGGAATGATGGACCCTTTGGGATGTGACAGGAAGATCACCTCATCCCCCATCCCTGAGGAGGCCTGTTCATCACCTGCCAGCCAGGATTCCTCTTCTTGCTACGTAGCCACATTATATCCCACCTGTCCTTAATAAAAGAGGCCCAACATGTCCCTGAACTTTGTCCACAAATCTTTGTCTTAGTCATAGGATTTAGAGCTGGAAGGAATCATGTAGCCCAGCTTCTTGATTTAATAGATGAGAATACTGATGCCCAGAGAGTGATTTGAGGAATGCATAGTCTAGGAAATTTAAGACTTATTGAAGTGAGGGGGATGCCTCTGGTATATACAGCAGATGGCAGGAGTTATAGGCCCAAAGAGAAGACGTGGACTCAGTGCATGATGTGGGGGGCCCAGAACAGTAGAGACTCTCCCCATGGTATTTCACCAAGCTGTGATCTCACAGCAGGTATTCTAGGAGGTAAGAATGTCTTCTGATCCTATATCGATGACTACATAGCCAAGCAAAAAAGAGGGTGGGGAACTCTGCCTCTACAAAAAAAAATTACCTTAGGCAATGAAATTGTGTTAGACAGCAATAATCCATCATTCACTTCCCTGAAAACCGGAAAGCAAAGAGTTGACCCAAGTAAATTGAGGGGCTGCCCAGAGAGGTGGACATGGTTCTCTGGGAAAAGAATGCATATGTTCAATCCAGGGAACCATAAGGCACTAGGAGGCAGAGGTGTAGCGAAGAGGAATCCCTTGGTCAAGTCAGGAATTACGGGAATGGGGAGAGAGAAAGAGAGGGAGAGAGACTGAGACAGAGAGACTGAGACAGAGACAGAGAGACTGAGACTGAGACTGAAACAAATAGAGAC